GAGCCGAGATCGCAACATTGCACTCTAGCCTGGGTGACAGAGTGAGACTCCATCTCAAAAAAAAAAAAAAAAAAAAAAGTTTGCCTATTTAACATGTTTGCTGTCTGTCTCTTCTAAAACATAAAGCTCCAGGAAGGCCAGGTTTTTTGCCTGTGCTGTTCAGAATAGTGCTTGGGACATCACAGAGACTCAGAATTTGTAGAATGAAGAAACTGTTGTTCTCTAATAAATATTTTACAGAATGTTAAGGGCAGATAAGATTTCAGAGTTGGAATTATGGCTGGGCACGGTGGCTCATGCCTGTAATCCCAGCACTTTGGGAGGTCAAGGCGGGAGGATCACTTGAGGCCAGGAGTTCGAGACCAGTCTGGTCAACACTGTAAACCCCATCTCTACTAAAAATACAAAAATTAGCTGGGCTTGGTGGCGCACGCCTGTAATCCCAGCTACTTTGGAGGCTGAGGTGGGAGGATCACTTGAGCCTGGGAGGTCAAGGCTGCAGTGAGCCGTGATCACGCTCCTGCACTCCAGCCTCAGTGACAAGATCCTGTCTCAAAAAAGAAAAACACCAGAATGGCTTCCAACCACAATATGGATGTGTTTAGAAAAGGTAAAATACAGGCATATAAAGAACAAAAAGTACCTGCTACAAAATAATATCCTCCAAAGCCCAGTAAATAATGATCTGTGTAACAAACCATTTTTTGGAATTCCTCCATTAAAACACACCTTGAAGAATCAAAATGCTCAAAAGCACTCCATAGAATCCTCTATGGAAAGTACTTAGTAATAAATACCCTGTGAAGGGCAAGTTATCCCCTGGACTCCTCCACATATCCATGCCCTGGGTACCTGGCCTTGAGCTCTTGGATCTCCTGGCGGATACGGGTGGTCTCCTCTCGGTACCGCCGCACCCGCAGCTCATCCTGTGCAATCTGCTGGCTCTGTTTCTGTAGTTTTTGGACCAGGTAGTCTCTGATGACGGACAGTGTGGCTGTGGAGTTGTGGGCCAGAGTCTGCACCACTGAGATTGGGGTCCAAGAGGAAACAAGACAATGAACTGCGTGCGGCACTCTCTGGATAGAGTTGAAGGGCCCCTGCCACAGAGCCCAGCTGTCAGCAGCTTGTCACCCACCCATCCTGTCTTCCCAAGTACCTAGAAGAGGTGGCATGAGGTTCTTGTTCTCTATATGCTTCAGGACAGCTGCCACATACTCCTTGCAGTCCTCCTCCTTGCGAGCGAAGTAGCTGAGGGCCTGCTCCCACAAGGAGGGGTCCTGCTCCCCATGGCGCTCACACACGGTGATGACCTGCCGGTACTGCTCGTGCTGCATGTGGTAGTGCATGATCTGCTGGAATCTGTGGCCGGGGCAAGGGCACACTTCAGTGGCTGTCTCTGGAAAATGACTTGGATTCTTCCCCTTTCCCTGAAATTCCCCAAACTCTTACAGCTTCCCCTGCTCATAGAGGTAAAGGACACCATCCTGGAAGTCATGCATCTGGCACAGGACCAGGGCCTTGTCAAAGACATCGCAGAAGCGACCACTCTTCAGCAGGGAAATGGCCTCTGCGTGGAGCTTCTCTTTGACCTGGAGAAGAAGGAGGGCAGAGTTGCTGGACAAAAGGGGAAAATCACAAGGTCTCTTTGGACATGGCCAGTCAACTCTTTCCCTCAGTCCATTCCCTCTTCACAGAGGACCACTGAGCCCCGTGGTAAGGTGTTACTGGTCTAAGGAATGCAGTGAAAGGCAGCCCCCAAGACGGAAGAATGGAGATGGCATGAACTGTCTTTTCTCCTGCAGCCCTGGCCAGGCCTCACCTGTGGGTCCTTTTCATGAGCCCAGTTCTGCAGTCGCAGCTCAAGGAGTGTGTCGTAGATGCCCTGGGGTGAGTCTGGCTGCACTTCACTCATGTGCTCTAGGAAGGCCTTCAGCTCTCGCGGGTTATTGGCAAAGATGGGGATGAACTCCTCAGAGTTGGCCTAGGATGGCAAGGGAGGAGAAAGGAGGCTGAGTGAGTGGGCGTGATATACAGGAAGCCCCTGAAGTGATCCCCACTGTCTGAAGCTCTTTTCCCTGCAGCCTCACCCTGCAGCCTGGGGCCTCCCTATCGCTGCGGCCTTCGAGGCTGGGCCGATAATCAGTACAAAGTCCCTTCAGCAACTGAGTTGTCTGCTCTGGTATATGGTGCATGAGGATCTTGCCATAGCGCTTCATGTTGCTCTCTGCCTGCTCAAAAGGCAGCTTGCCGATGTACCGAAGGGCTTCCTGATAATTCTGTGGAAAAGTAAAGGGCAGAGTAGTGCATACTCCTGCCTCAGCCACCAGAAAGCACTTTCATCATTCTGGGGATGTCTTCAAAAACAACACGGCTCGGCCCAAGTTAAGAGTCTCACCTCTACTCAGGAGGATGGGGTGGGAGGATCACCTGAGCCCAGGAATTCAAGTCCAGCCTGGGCAACATAGCGAGACCCTGTCTCTTGGGGAAAAAAGACAGAGTCTCACCTACCTTAATGTCCTCTAGCTGGATCTTCAGGTACCACTCATGATGTGCATGGTTCTCTGCCAGGTACAGGGCATGGGAGTAGTAACCAGCCTGCCGGAGGACCTTGATGGCTGTCTCCACATCAAAGTGGACTTCACTCTCACTTTTTGTCTGCCAAGGAGACATGAGACAAAATCATTTACACAGACATAGCTAGAGAAGGGAGAGGAAACAGGCATCTGACTTTCAGACAGATGCCTAAGGTAATACCATAAAGTCCACGCTTTGAAAATATTATGCTAGTCAGCCTGTGGGAGTGTCTGACTAAAGTTTTCCTCTGCCCCTACCATTAGAGGGACACCGCTAGGGACAGGGCTTCCCCAGTGCCACCACCCTGGGCTTAGATACCATGGGAAGTTCTAGAGTCATAAAACAAGAGGGGAGGTGGCACAGAACTAACAGGAACAGCCGCTCCTCTAAATAAGGTCAGCCCTTTCCTCTCCCTATGTCTTGCTGAAACGAACAAGTCCCGGTGGAGCCACCTCATGCTCAGTGGGGCCTCCAGGACTCTCCCACCAACACCATCCTGCACCTTGATGAACTCCTCCAGCTTCGAGCTGTCCTTGAGCTTGGTATAGCAGTTGAGGAGCAGGGTGGTATGGTCAGCATTGGCCAGGGATTGTCGGTGCAGGGTCTGCAGGTAGGCAGTCAGGTTGTGAATGCGCTGGGCATCTAGAAACTTGCGGATCACGTAGGATGGCTCCAACTTTCCAATGGTTCTAGGGAGACATGTGCACCAGATAGCATCTGAATCACTACACTTGTCCAACTCATGTACACAGAATCACTTGCAGATCTTCTCAAAATGCTAATTCTATTTCAGTGGATCTGGGGTGGGGTCTGAGATTCTGCATTTCTAACAAAGTCCCAGGTAATATCGGTGCTACTAGACTGGGACCACAGTGGGTAGCAAGGCTCCAGGGCACTGCTTCTTAAAATTTGGCTAAAAATAGGAATTCTAAAGAGAATGGGGAAGAGGCTAGACAGGTTTCTTTTTATATTATTATTTT